ATTATACTGTGATAGAGATAATAGACAGTAATTGATTAGTCTAGTATGTAATTTTTACTGTGCACAAGAGAGTATAAATAACACTGGACTATAGCCTCAAAAGAATGAAAAAATTGTACCACATTCACTCATTTATACCAAGCAACTGTGCATAAAATGCGCACCACTTTCATCATTGAGCTGCAAAATTAGGTAAAACTGATCCCTACATGAGCCACCTGCCCCATACACATGACCATCAAAAATAGGTTCAAATTTCAAAAACCAAAACAGGGATAGTAAAAAAGTATCCTTAGATGAAAATAATGCAATTATTTTGTCTTTGATAATTTATTTTTAATATGATTGAAGCCTAATATACAAAGTAATTTTGAAAAATGTACAGGAAAATTCTCTGATTGAGTTAATTTCGCACCGTTTTTTATTTTATTTTTAGGGGTAAAGTCTGCAGATGGGTACTGTATGATTGATAAAATATAACTTTGCAGTTGAGAAGAAACATATTATGTCATGCCCTCAAAAAAGTTTGCAACAAGTGCTTTCTCACTCTAAAAGATTTTATCTTACCAACATCAAGAAGTTGCTTGGTGCAGTAATACAATTTTTAAACTTCAAAAATGTAAATTTGTATACTTCACACAGTGCTTGGTCATCATCTTATTTCCTTACTTTGATGTTATAAATGAACAGAAATGAATGAACAGAAAACTTTATTTGCCGCTTTTCAGCGTTCAGAAGGCACAACCAAGACTCCCGCATCCAAACCCCCTCCCCACCCAACCCAACTCCCCCCAAAGACATTCAATCACTTCAAAGCATGAAACAAAGCACAAACCAATGACAAAAACAAAATGTTATGATGTTATGATGAGTACATTTTTTAGGTCATTTATCATCATATACAGCATATCAGGGCCAGCAGCTGGACTTTTCTTTTTGAAAAAGCCATCATTAATTTACTTCTTATATACTGTACATATGTATCGCCCACAATACATTTATGCATGTATACAGGTGACTGTGTGGCAACTGGCTGGGGCAGCTGGGCCCTGTGGGGGGCACCCAACAACACCCTGCAGCAGGTGCACATCGACTTCTTCCCTGACGACGAGTGTTCCGCTGCGTGGGGCGGGTTCTTTGTTCCCCAGCAGAACATTTGTGCTGGCACCCCTGAAGGCTGGGAAAGCGTGTGCCAAGTACGTGATGTCTCTCTTTCTTTCTCTGTCTCTCTCTCTCTTTACACACTGTGTTGTACTTACTGTATGTATACTGTTTATATGCCCCCAATAACAGTAAAACTGTGTTCCTTCTCATCATCAGCTGTCAGCATTCTGAACTCATTCATTCCTTTCATTCATTCCATTTACACATTCTTTATTGATTCNTTCATTCCATTTACACATTCTTAATTGATTCCATCTGAGATCCATTTATTCACATACAGCACTATACTTCTGTCAGACAAAGAGTCCTTTGATTTCACGTTGCTTCTACAGAAATAAAATGAATATGCATGGTTCTTAATTGCGACCTAGAAAATGTTGATGTCAAAAAATCACATTATTTTTACATTTTTCATATACTGTACATTTATCTCTTTTTATTTTCAAATCTCACACTATATCATGAATGAACAATATTGTTGTAATCAACCAGAAAAAAATCCCACAGCTGAATGATGTGTTCTAATTTTGGATGTATCACCTTTTTTCCGCCTCCTTTTGTAATTCTTGATTACAATTGTCCTTTGCAATTTAGGCAAATGCTTTCTGACGGTCTACGCTGTGTTTGTCTACACACTATTCCAGCCAAGTTAACACCCAGCAAGGTCACTCAGAGTTTCAAAACTACTGTAATTGCGGTTTGAACCTAATTTGCATCATAGATAAGGATTGAAACAGATTTCTGCAGGCCTCAAAGTGTACTGTATACAAGAAAATGAAGGTTTGCATATATAATTAATGACATTAATGTTACTCTCAGTAATGTAGCAGCAGACATAATCCCATTATAACTATAAAGAAGGTTAACACTTCAAGTAGTGAAAATGAAGATACTGTTCATCAAAGAATCATTATTCTGAAGCACACGCGTAAATATGCTGTATCCTGCACGTCTTAATTCCTTCACATAATGTAATCTGGAGCAAATAACACACTGAAGTGAAATTGCAAAAATGGAGTTCATGCAAAGAGAAATAATTAGATTCGCAAGCAATTCAAAAATCTTTTGCATTTTCGTGATGAACCAGAGAAAAAAAAACCAGACAAGCCATAGACACGTGGTTTTTCTAAGGAAATATACAGCTGACAATAATTTACATGGTTTTTTCATTATCCAGTATTAACAATCAGTACAGTATTTTCCTTTATATTTAGCTGGTTTATTTCTATCTGAGAAATAAATTAATTTTAGATAGTTCAGTCATTTAATGATAGATCAGGTGATGTATAGGTGATGTCTTTAAATTCCTCAACAGATCAGGAAACGAGTCTCAATCTCCTTTTAAACATGCGGAAATAAATAAAAAAGGGCAAGGAAAAAAACGAGTGTTCATCACTGGCCCTCTACTGAACCTCGTCTGCTTCGTAGCTCAGAAATACACACTTTCAACCTTGGGTCTGATGTGGTCTCACACTAGCTGACGGTTACTGATGTAAATAAAGAACTTGTCAAAAATCTCGGTACTGATCCGAGCATAAACAACTTCCTAGAAGACGCATAAACAAATGCCTTTGCACGTACATATCAGCACTCTGGGGAGGCTATACTTCATGGTAATAATAAAGATTCCTTGCTAATTTTATGGTTAATTTCCTGCTGTGAACTCGCTTTTTATTTTTGGCTGCAAGCCCAACTTTTTCAAGGTTAGCAGAGGTTACTTCAAAGGGTTACTACAGTATATACATCTTTGCAAATTGCAAATGTCATCCCTCATCAACCTACAGGAATTTGTCATCTGTTTTCTTTGCATTTAATAATTTATTCTTCTCTAATTTTTTTATAAAAATGATAAATTGAATTCCTGATCGAAATTGAATTTATCATCAATAATGATAATAATACCATTTTATGTGGAGGAAAATGGGTGATATACCCCATCACGCTTTCATTTTAATTATTTAGTTGGAAATGATTGGATGTTTGACGAGTCAGCAGTTATGGTACTTGATTTGATTTTTTTAATTATTCATTATTTGGAAATTCTCAATAACTTTTTGGACAAACTATTCAATATTTCCATCTCATGATATGCGAAATATGGAAAGTGTCACAAAAAGCTATATATATACTCTGAGCAGGAAAATCTGGTTTGAATAAGAAACAATGTTGAAAAATAAATTCAAGCTCGATCCCTTAAAAGCAGGTTCCGTTTTATTCATTTTGTTTTGTTTTTCAAATGACCTGCTGCAAGCATCCCGAAGTACAATGGCATGTCTCCTTCGTTTGACCTACATTTCCTGTAGTCCCATGGATGAATTATTTGACAGATCCTAAGCTAATTCAGTCAAGCCTGACCTCTTCGGACCTTGGGAATGACGTGGTTTATAACTGTGGATATTTCAAAATAAAAACGAAATTATGAGAAGAAAGAACGCCAGGTGGGAGAAAACAAATGCCAAAAATTTCAGCGCGTCCCAAAACAGCGCCACTTTAACAATATTCACGAATAGTAACAGATATAACTATATAAGAAGATATTAATCTTGTATTTTAATTTTAAAAAGCGCTTGTCAAATTGATGCCTGAATATTGCATATTTTCTCAATATGTTCATTGGCATTCACTCCTATACTTTCCAAATTGTCTTCCATTATTTCATAACTTGAATAATAATCAAAATATTATTCATGAGAATTTCCCAGAAAATCATTTGTTGTACAGAGAATTTTGTTGCAGACAAGATTATTGTAGATTGAGTCTATTCATTATTTAGCCCTTGGATGGTGGAGGGTTTCTATAGCTGTCCTGTGGAAAAGTCAGGATTTTTTTTTTGGGGGGGGGGGGGGAGGGGCATTTCAGTTTGACCAAAGGTCACTGAAATGCCCCCAGGTTGCCAAGGCCTAAGTTGGGAAAACTCCCAGTGCAAAAAAAATCCCATTGTTTCCAGAAATCCCCAATGTTAATTATATTCAGGGAATGCATGGAAAAATGCCACCCAGGAAGGAATTTATATGTATTTTTGAGCCAAAATTTTCTGCAGGATTATAAAAAAAATATCAGAATTGTTCCTGACTTGGTTCAAAAATCTTATTTTTTATTGGGACAACATTTTTAAAAAATATCCTGACTTTGCCGCACAAGGGTTAAAGGGTGTACTGTTTCAGTTGAACCTTTTCTGGTGACTTGAAACTTAATCTGGTTGAAGGAAAAATGTTAACTTTATTGCATATTTTAGTACTATATATGGCGAGTGAATGTTCTGAAAATTATAAATGCTGCCTAAATCATCAAAACAATAAAGTTTTTTTTAATGTAAAACTCTTTCGCTTCGAACACAGTTTTATTACTGCTGATGTGAGGGGGTCAACTCATTCAATATTCCATTCGGACGATGTCATAATATCATCAATAAGCAGCTGCAGTCTTCTTTAATCATTTATTGTGACCGAGCAAATTATTTACTTATTGTATATGTATATACAGGGTGACAGTGGAGGACCACTCAAGTGCAAGTCAGCCGACGACGGGACCGAGTACTTGTTCGGCGTGACCTCGTGGGGCTCTGACCAGGAATGCGGGTACCCGGGTGACCCAGCCGTGTGGACCGAGGTGGCCCACTTCATCGACTGGATCAACGACAAGACTGGCCTCACCTTCCCTCTGATGTGAATAACCCCCCGTCGATAAAGCGCTTGTTTTATTCGAGTCGAGATGTTTCAAATAAGAAAATAAAGAAAGAAATACAACCTCTGTATATTTGCTGCCTCGATGAGCATTGTGGAATTCGAATTTGGGTAATGAAAACTTAAAACCCAACATATACAGTACACTGCAGTGTGGTGACTCGTACAATAATAACAAACCAAATTTATTCTGCTCATTTTCCGTTTAAAACGTTACTTAACATCATGTTTCCATACGTTAAAAATGAAAAACGTTCAAATTAATAATTGATGTACAGTACAGTACTGTATTACAATCACAGTCTTGGCTTGACATCTCAGTATAATTAATTGAGACCAATTGAAATGAGTTTCCCATTTTACACAAGTCCCTATACTAAACCATAAAATCCAATAATGAATAAGTACAATCACACAAAAGAAAATATGATAATACAGCAGTTGAAAATTGTTAACTTCAAACTCTCTAACACAAATACAGATGGTACCATGCAACATCCTGCAATTCAATTGCCAAATTTGCTGGGAGTTTGACTTGCAATTTGATGTGCAGAAAGATGCAAGATGTCAAATGTTATTCATCAGAAAGCATTGCATTCAACATTGTCTTGCAATTTAACTGATTCACAATGCAACCTTAGTCTGGCCACAGATTGAGGTGAAATTGCCAGAAGCACCACTATTTTACCACCCTATCTCAATTTGTTGCCAAGTACCCTGTCTAAATTCCTTTAGATATAAAGCATTTAACCCTTGGACAGCAGCACCCTCCTTTCTATCCCAGGTCAAAGTCAAACGTTTTCTCCTTTTGGCCTGCATTTAATTTTGCCTAAGGTTATGCAACCCCTGTCAGTTGTTGGATTTTATCAAGGGATAAAGAAAAGCTGGGCAAGTCCTTAAGTTGTACTTTTTTCCTAGTGACCTCTGACACGGGCTCCTGGCTTTCAAGCTTAAATTTAATATTTGAGTGGGGGAACAGCACGAAGGCCTGGGGAAGAAGTGAGCCGTAAAGATTTAATTTCTTAACTTCCAAGTTTAAAAAAAATGTTCTGCGGAAAATGTAAAGAAAAACAAGGAATTTTTTCTGACTTGGCCTTGCACTCGCACTGTCATGGTATTTTAAAATGTCATTCTTGAGTGCACCCAGAATCTTGAGTGCAAAAAAAAGTCTGACCTCACTCTGCAGAAGGTTAAACCCACCCTAGAACTTCAAGGCTATCCCCTGAAACCTTCATAATTATTCAAATCTTCTGGAGGTATCTTGATTTTTTTTATTGACAGAGGAAAGAGAAAAGCACTGAAACTTTAACTTGACAAATGTTTGAAATGAAGTGAAAGAATAATTGGGCAAAGGAATCATCCTTGTCTCCAAGTTCAGCATTGTCCTATCAAACTCATTTGAAAAACAATCTAAAGCCCAGAGTATCACAATTATAATGTCCTTGTTATTCCCTTTTTTATTTCCTTCTACACAAATGCTTCCTTATCAATAAAAATCAAAGCCTCCCAAACTTTAATTTGTGTGCTGGTCCCTTCAAGTCTAGCTTTTTAATGAGGTTTCATTGTGATAAAAATGATGAATGTTTCAGGAAAAAAATCATGTTCATAGTCATTTTATCCTTTGGCTATCAATATACCGTAGTTCATACTTTCAGGAATTTTCGAGAAATTCAAAATACTCATATGTTTGGAGACCAGTTGAATGCAGGAATCAAACTTTTGAATAGGAAATCGAAATTATATTTTTCTTGCAAGGAAAATTCAATCATTCTTATGTACCACCACTACATTTGAGTCCCACTCCATCTAAATACAGAAACAAGCTTTTCATTCCCAAGAAATACTCATCTCACCTGATTGCGGGGGATTTTCCGAATAATCGCTGAAGCATGGCAAGAAATTACCAGGAAACAGCAGCAGACCTTCCAGAAATAAAGCGTCTCTCGAGACTGAATCAGAACAATATTACAGGGCATTCAGTTGGCTACAGGGTATCTTAATTATTTCCCTTGTATAAATCAGCTTACGCATCACCAAAAAAAAAAAAAGGAAATTTTTAAAAATTCTTGTTCACGCCCACAGCATAACTTGTTTCGTGGAAAACGTCATGCGGTTTTTGGCACAAAGAAGGAATCCTTTCTTCGTCACCCCAGCAATATTCCGATTGATGCATCGCGAGAAACCTCAAATTGCATCTGCGATAATGTGTTTCAAAGTGCATCAGCGAAGAGCGCATTTGCATAACGAAATCTGAATTTTAAGTGCACTTTATGTGTGTAATATGTAGACGATGTGACAGCCTGCTTATTGTGAGGAATTTGTGCTGTATAATGTGCAGTGAAAGCGTGTACTTTATTCTGGAATATATGCGGGACTGAACTCAAATACTGTACTTCCATCAATAAACAGCCAAGTTCAATTCTTTTCAATTTTCAACTTTTATCGCATCATACAATTTTTTAAACCATACAGTATGGGGCATTGTTTTCGCGCAAAAGAATCCCTTTTGTTCTCTCTGATCTGTCTTTGTATGGAATCATTTGTCATGTATAAGCCTTGTCACAAGCATTATATATAGCTGTCATCATTTGAAGAAAAAAAAAAAGGGCAATGGGTCCTCCAAACTTTTGCGACACTCGAAAATAGCTGGCTTTAAAAAGTTTGGTTGTTGTTGTCCTCCTCCAGCTTTTCTTTGTCCTCGTCGCAGATTCATTCATAAATGTCTCAGAACTGGAGGGTTTTTTTTTTTTTTACAGACAAAAATTCAGTTGAGAAATAAAAATACCTGTATATACAGATGCAACACAACAATCAGCCCGGGACTAACATTTTGGGAACTTTGTTGATTGGAAATATATGGATTTATTGAAGTCCCATTTGAGTGTTGAAACGTTTTTAAATGATCCCTATATCTTCAAATGCACACAAATACATATACAGTACTATACCAGCATCAGAAGTTTATTAAGGGACTAACCTAAAGCAATTGATCATTTGTTTTCTTAAACTTTTTGTGGAAATCAAATGATGGAATCAAATTTCCATCAACTGATGATTCTGAATAATTTCCCATCTTGTTTACTTCTTTTCTTTGCCTCTTCAAAAGTTTCATATTTCACATTTGCAGATTTGTATCAAAGATTGAGAATCACATGAGCATGAGGAACAGCAATTCTTTCAATGTTGCATCTGAGATCTGCATGAGGTTATTTTTACAAGGATGATTGTTGAATTGTTGAGAAACTCAGGAGCATTTTCTGTATGACATTGGTGCCATTTTTCTTGCATCTTTCTGCATTTCCCCCCAACAAAATCAGCAGCAGAACTGATGTACTGTGTATGTCAGGGACCACAAGAGGTCAGGCAAAGAAATTTACCACAAACACATGTACAATTTTATGAAATTCACACAAAACTTGACTTCACAAACTGACATTACTGACCTTGGAAACTGGAAAAGAAACTTTTTGCCAGGAAAAAGATAATACAAAGTTAGAATTTTTGGAAAATAAAGAACTTAATGCTTTGGTTGGGAATGTGACCAGGGTGATGTTTCACCCAATTGTAAGTTGGTCTTTCTTCCTCAAATACAAAAGGTTTGTACAAGCAAAAAGTTTTGAGAACTCCCAAGTTCTCAACTC